AATTTAATATATGAATTCCTCATATTAAAGCAATGAGCACATAACTTTTTTGGAAAGATCAGGGCTCGAGAACTGATTTGCGGGCCGATTTTACATTTTTCACCATATCCACAGAACAAATTCATGGAATTTCTTGAAATTTGATATTTGAGTTCTGGTTGTTACCGAAACTAACTGGTGAGCATTTCAGGGAATTCGGGCAGCACAAAGCGATACTCTACTAAGAGCCAAATTTACATTTTTCTAAGTATGTTAACTATAAGCTTACTAATGTCCCCAAAATTGGAAAGAAGTATTTAACAGACATTTTTATAATATTCTATAACACTTTCATTTAACTAGACAATACACAATGCGGTCGGTTATGTGCTGACCACATCAGATTTTTTTGAAAAGATTTTGTGTAAAAGTATTAAAATTATTAACGACTGAAAATCTATTAAAAAATTTTTAATTTCAATTAAGTTTAATTTAAATATAAAGGAACATATAAAAAAATTAACCGTGCATAAAGAAATAATTAACTTTATTATTTATTAAGATAAAATAATAAATTATTTACTTCTCAGATTCCATTTAAAAAACTGCGTCAATACAAAATCACGAAAAAAAAATAGATGCACAGCTGATTTGACATGATGCGGGTAAGAGACGTATTTTTGACATTTTCACACACCAAACTTTAAAGTATTACCGTGTTGGTGAATTTTCGTACATGATTACACATCGATGCTGCATAGATTACTTTCCGATTATACCCATAATCTACAACTTTTGAAAGTTCTACAACGTTACATGAAAAATATTATTATATTTGAGCTGGTTTTTTTGAAGTGCTAAAGCCTATTTTTTCGTATATTGAGATATTTAAGGTTTGGCATTTGAATCAATTTGAAAATATTGACCACAATAACATATTTTGTTTGTTTTATGTTTAGCACAACTCAATTGAAATTGTAATTGTAACTGTGGAGATAAGGTGTCTATAGCTCATCAAAATCACCATTAACTTAGTCTTTTTAAAAAGTGGACTTATACCATTTTCAAAAAGACCAGCTCATTTATGTTTTTTAGTCTACAATGCTTTGCCAACAGGGTCATTGAGTAATAAGTAATTTTGGAGAATTCAGTAAAAAGGTGATAAGAGCTTCAAGGAAAATGTTCAATAAAAAATTTTTAACTAACATAGTACTCTATTTCGTACTTTAGGTACTTTTATAAAATTTTTAGATATTTTTCGTAAACAAATCAAAATACTTCGAAAATTGAAAAAATTTGGTTAGTAGAAAGAGCTTCAAAAATATTAAACACATTTTTATATTAATCATGTTTTTTGTTTTGTTTCATGCTAAGACTCCAAAATTATCTAGGCTTTATAATAGAGAAGAATCATTTGCAAATTGATCGCTAAGGCAACGTTATTTGAATTGCTGAATAAAATTCAAATTTTTTTCCCTGAGTTTGTCTTAGCTGCTTTTCTATATTTTTTTTTTATCAGATAAGCTCGATCTACGATTTATTTCGTTTTCAATTTCATGATTATTATGAGATAATTTTAATGTTGCACAATTCATACCGTTATTGCCATTCACTTTTCTATAAACGTAAAACTATCGAACTTTTCTTAATTATCAGAAATGTTGCGTTTAATCACAATCAACCGAACAATCACAACAAGTTTATGAAATCAAAATGCGTATTTTCATAAGAGCTGTAAAACCTTATCATTAGTTTAATTTTTTAAAATTTTGCAAATATATGGGTTTTGATTGTACTATCATCATTTGAGTGTTGCTTTAAACATCAAAAATTCAAGCAAATTTCAAATTTTAAATTTTCGTTTTAAAATTTAAGAAAGTTAGGAATATGGTTCTTTTTTTGGACAAAAAAGCTTCCATTGACAATATCTTAACAAATGGAGCAAAACAACAACTTTTTTCTTTAAGACTCTTTAATAAGAAATAGTCTTATTTCCAATATTAGCAAGAATATTTTCTGCCAACAACACTCTTTTCTGTTTTAGAAAAGTAATAATAATTTCAGAATGTATGAAGAATTTGAGTTTAGGGAATAGCTACCAAAGTAGAGTTAGGTAGAAATCTATTAAATGGCAACCCTGATCGTAAGAAAAAAAATTTTGTATATAACTTCACCTAAATCATGTGCTTGCGATTTCATTTTTATATTTTGCTTTTTCTTTGTTTCTGTTTTTTTGCTACAATAGAAATTAAAATCTAAAAAATCGTAAAACTTTTCCTAAAAGCCTAAAAATTTTGTACCAAATTGAATGTCTGACGCCTTTGGTAACAGCATGTTCAGAATTTCTTCAAAAAATGTTCCGTCGAAATATTCATAATAAAGACAAATCTGCAATAAGGTCTGATGACTGTTTTCATATCAGACAGAAATTATCTCAGACTTTGCGTCAAAACTTAGCAATTAGCTATGAAAATTATGACCAAAATAAAATCAGTTGACCGAAGCTCAAAATTTTGGCAAAAAATTAATTTTCGCCTTTCTACTTTTAAAAATCTAATTAGAATAATGTAAATTTTTAATTTTTTTTTTTTTTAAATTGGAGCTGTCTGAGCTTACGGCTATTATACTAAGTTTTTGTTTTTAGTTTAAGTTTAATAAGGTTATTATGATTCGTGAAGCAAAAAAGGACTCGAAGCGATATTGAAAATTAACTAAAATCTTAAAAATAATTTTTTTCATAATTATAGTATAATTATGAAAATACATTTAATAATTAAAAATTTTACTTTTGAAGAATTATTGGTTAAATAATATTAGTTACATGTATATACAAAAATGTGACCAAAAGCGATACATTATTATTTTTATATTATCATTTTTCAAACTAGGAATAATTTTGTAGCATACAAACAAAATTTTAAGAATGTTTTTTATGTTTACTTTTTTTATCAAACATCCTATTTTGGCAGATTTCAAAGTTTTGACTTGTCGAAGATATTTTGTATTTATTCAAAGTAAGCGATTATTTAAAATACCCAATATTTTCTCGGATATAACAATCTTTGTAATATTAAAATAAAATTCCAAAATTTATTTACATAAAAATATTTTTAGCTATTTTTAGATGTAAATAATTGATAGCATAAAAGCACGGTGATAATTTTTTTCTTCATATAAACTCTATACATCTTTTTAAAAATCTGATGTGATCAGTAGATAACCGACCGCTGTGTGTATTGTCTAGTAAAGTGAAAGTGTTACAGAATATTAAAAAAATGCCTGTTAAATACTTCTTTCCAATTTTTGGACATTAGTAAGCTTATAGTTAACATACCTATAAAAATGTAAATTTGGGTCTTAGTAGAGTTTCGCTTTGTGCTACCCGAATTCCCTAAAATGCTTCCAAGTTGATTTCGGTAATAACTAGAGCTCAAATATCAAATTTCAAGAAATTCCATCTATTCGTTTCGCAGATAATGGATAAAACATAAAACAAAATAAAAATGTAAATTCGGCCCTCAGATCAGTTTCCGAGTCCTGACCAAAAAAAAATTATATGTTCATTGCTTTATTACGTCGAATTTAAATACTAAATTTCAAACATATGAAATTTCAAGTAAATCTGTCGAATATTTTCTTCATAATGATCAAAAATGTAAGACACCCGCTAAAAAGTGCAGTTCCCGAGGCCTGATATATCCCAAAAGTTGATCAATCAGTGCCATAGTCGAAATAAAATTTTATCAAAATCGGTTAAGCTGAACTTGAGATACATGTGTCCACACACTGACAGACAGACCGACAGACTGACAAACCGACAGGTTGCTAAAAATAGTTTATTTACACTTCCTTACCATAGAGAAGTGTTTCCAACACATAACCTATATACTGTATACACAATGCAGTATCGGTAAAATTCATAAAAGGAAAATGAGAGTCACTCTCTTTACGCGGTTGCCTTGTACTAATTATGGCAGAGCATGATAACGAATTCAAAACCAAATTGTATGAAGGTTTACCACAGGAAAGGAAAAAAGTTACTATTTGCGTTTTGAAAATTTAGCTAGTTAAGAAAAATATTATCAAAGTAACAATGTGGTACTATTATATAGATAAAAGCTAAAAGAAACTGATCTGGTAAGCACATAACCGCAAAGTTTATTTTTTCGAATGTTACTCAATATTTCAAAAATTTCCTTCCAAAAACTTTTAAGTTTTAAATTTTTAAATAGTTTCTTTTTCCTTATATTTTACAAAGCCTTAGGTTCATTTTTTTCTTAAACATTTTTTTCTGTTAAATAAAAAATTAATAATTTAAAAATATCAGTATCAAAAATTTGAGTTTACGGAATTTCTTTTGTATCTGGCTTCTTCTTTTTTAGTTTTTTTTTTGCTGTATACCAAAAATTAAAATCTTGTGCAAATTTCAGCGATATTGGTCTGTCAAAAATGGGAAATTTATGAAATTTTTCTTACCCACAAATTTGCAGCAGATTATATCCCTGAATAATATATGTGTCTTTGATTTTACTTAAGAATTTTTTTTTGTTCTGCAAAATACGAAAACACCGATTATCAATATAAAAATTAATAGAATAAAATTTTTACTATAATGTTAATGAAATAATTTTTGTAATTACTAACTTCGCCTATTTTATTTAAATACACTTAACCTGGGAACAGCCTGAGGTGATAATCTATCGAATGAAAATTTTGAGGTGATGAAAAAAGACTATCATGTCGAATGAAGAGTTTAACAAAGGAACTTACGTGGTGATTTCAACGTCTGTCATCACAAATATTTCGAAAGCTATATTTATAGAGGAAGGATAACGATTATTTATGTCATTTTAGGACTAATATGTTTGAGGACCCTCGTATCTTGTTTCAATTCACTATAAACATAAATGGCTAATATTGGAATATTATAAAAAGTTAATGCAATCCATACACAATCAATAACAAAAATTCAATTAAAAGTAGCTTGAAAATCTATACTAATAACTATCACCCTCCGATAGGATTTAGCTATAACTATGATAGTCCTATAAACTCTCAGCCTAATATATCATTTGAATATAATTTTTCTAGAGCTGATTTTGTAGGTCTAAATAATTATTTCTTTACGGTGGATTTCGAGACATTACTTTGTAATGTTCCTATTGACGAAGCAGTAAAGAAATTTTATGATGTCGTTTTACATGGTTTTGACATGTATGTTCCTAAAACGCGTAATAAGAGTATTGATTCAAGTCCTGTTTGGTTCTCAATTGAGTTGAAAAAATTGAGAAATAAAAAGAATAAGGCGTGGAGAAAATATGTTAAGACTCAAAGCTCTGAGTCTTATTCTACTTACATAAATTTATTTTATTCATTTAAACGTTTGTGTGAAGTGAGTTATAGTAATTATTTGTCAGGTTGCTCTTTGGAATTAAAGCAAAATCCCAAATCTTTCTGGAAGTTTGTTAATTCTAAAAGGAAATCTAATCAATTTCCAAACTTTATGACTTATGGTAATCAAACAACAAATGATCCACAAATAATTTCAGATTTATTTGAAAAATTTTTCTCCAGCGCTTATTCGAATAATATTTTTAACATCAATCCGCAAAATTTTGACTACTTTCCCAACTACATTGGTCGACCCCTCCCTGAAATAGATCTATCGTCAACTAAAGTTTGTTCTTATTTGGAAGCCTTAAACAATGATTGCTTTCCGGGCCCTGATAATATTCTTGAGATTATTTTAAAACAATGTTCTCGTGTCTTATCAAAGCCAATTTCAACTTTATTTAATAGATCTATTTCTGAAGATACTTTTCCTAGTTGGTGGAAAACCTCTTTCATACGACCGGTGCATAAAAAGGGAGAAAAAAAGAACATTGAAAATTACCGTCCTATAGCTAAGCTTTCTAGCATCCCTAAAGTATTTGAATTAATGGTTTATGACGTAATCTACAATTATTGCTCAGAATTGGTAGTGCCAAATCAACATGGGTTTTTAAAAATGAAATCTACAGTTACTAATCTTGTTGAATGTAGTTCTAAATTTTTAAATACGATGGAGGCTGGATCCCAGACGGATGTAATTTATACTGATCAGAGCAAGGCTTTTGATTTACTACCACATAATGTAGTACTTTTTAAGCTAGAAAAGTATGGTTTTCCTCCTTTTTTCATTAAATGGATTGGTTTTTATTTGTGTAGTAGGAAATATGGAGTTATTTTTCGTTCATATATCTCCAATTACTTTGTTGCAAATTCGGGTGTACCTCAGGGTAGTCATTTGGGGCCTCTTCTTTTCATTATTAGTATTAATGATGTAACACGCGTATTAAAACACAGTGATTTAAGTATCTATGCTGATGATATGAAAATTTACAGAAGAATAGACTCCGCTACTGATACCTTGCTCGTACAGCGGGACCTGGATTCTTTTGCTAATTAGTGCAACTTTAACAATCTTTCCCTTAACGTCTCTAAGTGTTCCGTAGTTAGTTACACTCGTCGTTCCGTAACTATAACTTCCAACTATGTCTTGAATAAAGCTAATCTTAACAGGGTTAGTTCTATTAAAGATTTGGGTGTTGTATTTGATGAAAAGTTGACGTTTAGACAGCACTATAACGCCGTGATTAGTAAAGCTAATTCAGTCTTAGGCTTCGTTAAGCGTTATACAAAGGAGTTTAATGATCCCTACGTTATAAAAACTTTGTTTGTGGCTTTGGTACGACCACATCTTGAATATGCAAGTCAGGTTTGGTCTCCTTCTTACCGGGACCACGTCAATAGATTGGAGGCAGTTCAAAAAAACTTTTTAAGGTATGCTCTTCGTAATTTTCATTGGGAAAACCCTATTATTCTCCCACCATACGGAGATCGGTTATTATTACTTCAAATGAAAACACTTGAAAGTAGAAGAATTGTTGCTGATATTTTGTTTATTGTGCAAGTGTTTATGAGCCGCATAAACTTTACATATGCTAAAAATATCATAGAAGCTCAATTAAATAGTGTCACTCGTTTTCGTAATAACAAAATTTTTAATCTTCCTTTTCACCGCACAAATTATGGGAAGAATGAACCTATTTCTCGAATGTTAGTTGCTGTTAATAAATACATTTCTCGTGAGGAGTTATCGCTAACGAAGACTCAACTTAAGAATACCCTCTTTGCAAAATTACATTAGTTGTATACTTTATGAGGTCACTAACTTTTAATTATTATCATACATAATATTTATTGTACTCGAAAAATAAATTCAATAATTTTCTGACCTACATTAATAGCAACTAACTTTTGCTGACTTTGCAATCTTTTGTTGTAAATGTTTTCATAATTTAAAAAATTTTTTTTAAGTTGAACTTTTTGCTAGCTAGGCAACTTTTGTTCAGGTATTTTTAAGTAGTATTAATTTTAAGTTAAAGTTTAATAATAACAATAAAAATTATCATATAGGTTAAATTGTATAATGTAATTTGTAAATTGTAAAATGTTTGAGCTAAACATAAATAAAAAAAAAAAAAACAAGAAATCCACCATTATAATACGAGAAGTTCTAATCAATTGAGAAATGCAGTAGTGGACAGAAATTTAAGAGGTTTAGAATTAGTTAGGTCAACAAATATACGATTATAAAATCACGTTAATGCAGAACTCAAAAACTCTTTACAAAGTTTTTTGAAAAATACTTTTGAAAAACAAATGTTAGATACGTACAATAACAAATACTACAGCTTCAATTTTATAATTTATTCAAATTTTAAGCTTCAGAATTAAAATAAATTTAATTTATATTACAATGAATTTTAATGTCCGTGCTTAAGTGGCCATCCGAGTATACACTTAAGTCCGTTGTGATGCCGCTGGATCTCCCTGTCCGCACCCCTACGTGAACCAGCTCGACTCCTTTTAAATTGCTTTAAGTCCCTGGTATTTACATTCGCCAGGTCCGTAATTCGCGGTCGTAAAGGAAATGTGACCCAAGGAACCTCCTTCATTTCCATCACAAATCTGGGTATGAGCACAGAAAAAGAGAAGCTCCTCCAAAGGTCTCCTCCTCCTCGTCGCAGCAGCTCCTCCACAGGTCGTTATAAGATGTTCTTTCCTCCTGGCGTGTTCGCCAATCAAACAGCGCCCAGTTATAATTCCTATCACTGCGCAAAAGGCCACCAGTGAGTGTGCAAACCAGCCCGTTCAGTTCTCCAATCGTGCTAGGATAAGTTGGAGCCTTGCTTCCCAGGAGATCGCTTAGCGAGTCTCTGTATGTTGTATGAGCAGTAAATTCAAAATATATATAGCGATGTTCAGAAAAGGAATTATCTTGCGAGACTTTCCAATTCGTGACCATCCCAAGCGATTGTTTGGGAAATAGAGGACTCTGAGTCCCAATGATCTTGCGAGACTTTCCAATTCGTGACCATCCCAAGGGATTGTTTGGGAAATAGAGGACTCTGAGCCCCAATTACATATGCTAAGGTTAGCACTCAAGAAAAATTCTAAAAGTGACAAACCCTTATGTTTGTGTCTGAGCTTCCCCAGATGGTGTCATGTACATTAGCGTCACTCGCAATGATAAGGCCGGCTCCAGTAGATCGAGCGTGTCTTACCAGGCCTCCCAAATTTGGAGATAGACATTCTTCCTGAGAGGGGTAGGGCAGGTATACTGACGCCCAGGAGGGCCTCCTACCTGCGTTCTCCAGATTGACTGCAGTCAATTCCTCGTTACTGTGAGGAGGTAGCAAAAAAAGTATTTAAGTTTCTTTTCACAAGTATGCAAGACCTTACCTTTCCGCCGGTGCTACTATAGAACAGCTTGTGAGCTTGCATCCTTCCTCCCGCAATCCAACCTCCTGATCTTCGCATCGTTAGAGTGGTGGAGATCAATCTGGAGTATGTGCAGCATGACCGCTTGCGTTAACTTCCACCATCTTTGTTGAGGATAATCACGGCCTGTCTATAGTCGCCCTTCTTTCCCTCCAGTTTGATGTTGGCAGGAAAGGGTTGCCTAACCTTATCATCTTCAAGATTCCAAGAACGAGCTCCCGGTCTACTTGGGATTTAATCCAGTGATCCATGATTTTTATAATAATATCGGCGATCTTAACTTTAACTGAAACTGCATGTGACGCATTTACGTTACTTATTTTTTGAACAGCATCTTCAATAATCTCTTTCTGAGTTTAAAGAGATAACCCAGAAGTTTCCAAGCGAGTGATTGACGTGCTAGGAAAACTCAAACTTGGGCATAGAAATACAAAATCATTTTTCAATTAATTTTTAAAATCTAAATTTGAAAACATGTTTTTTGCTGTTGCAACGGCAGCAGAATCTTCTTCTGGTAAGTGGCACAATAGATTTTCAATTTTTTCAAAATAATGAGCATAATATTTTATTGCATCTAACCATGTCCCCCAACGTGCTGTAATAGGTTGGGGTGGAATTGGTAAATTGGGTTCAATTTTTTTCAGAAATTGTACTCTTGCTGGTGAATTTGAAATAATTTTTTTAATCAAAGCAATAAAACCATCAATATTTAGATAGGGGAGGCCAATTTTTTCAGCTACTCTATGTAGTCCATGGGCTAAACATGTTATATGTAAAATTTCTGGGTAAAATACTTTGTAGGCGGCACCTGATTTTACCATATACGCAGAATCCGCTACAAAAAGTAAAATTAAATCGCGATTAAAATCGCTGCCCAATATTTTTATGGAATATACTAGTAAGCATTTTGGCTCAATTTTGAATTGTATTTAGCAAACCAGCTGGACAATGGGAAAATAGGTCGAAAAGGGGAAAAAATATCAAAAAATATTAAAAAACATGTTAAATCCCGAAAAAGGTTAAAAAAGGAAATTTTATGAAACGCATTTGTATATTGGTAAAGTTGTCCTACTAAGCACTGCTAAAAATAGGTAAAAAACTAAAAATCCGTTCCCTAATAATATAATCCGCACGAGTCATTGTAGGAGTCATTTTGAAATTAAAATGAAATAAAATAAAATTTTAGTCGACATTTATATGCTTTTCCAAACGCACCGTATGTTCCATTCACAGTTCTTTATTTACTTGAGCGACACCCAGATCCCTGTGAATGTCACTATTGCGCACGTCCTATAAAGCACCATGTCACGAAGGACCTTGTTCTGAAAAGTTTGTATGTATTTGATGTGCGTTTGCTTGGAAACAATAAATACAAGCCCATAGCTGCAAGCCGTACGTTTATTTAAGCTTTATGATTTGGTTATACATGAACACCTTATTGTATGTTGCCAATCGAGACCTAAGACCTATAGTCCAATAGTTTTCTCTATATTTGTTTTCTAATTCTATTCTTTTCCTCTTTAGACGTTATTTTCATCTGAGCTTGACATCTAAAATCATACCTAGGTATTTCGCTGTAAGCGAAGAGTACTTCTCGCACTGTTTGATTCGAGAAAGCCTGTCAGATAAATATGATTGAAGCAACTCCACGAATATCAATTACTTAAGTTTAAAAAATAAACTGTTGTGCCAAACCTCATCGAACACTTGGAGCACGTCCAGGAATATTGTCGAACATATTTGCCTTTCTTCCAACGCTTTTCCATAATATTTGTTATAGTGTGTACTTGGTCAATTGTTGCGTGCTTTGCTCTAAGATCAAACTGATGGTTAGAAATTAGTATCTTATTTTCTATTAAAGAAATTGGCCTTGTCAACAACAATTTTTTTAAACAGTTTTGATATTATATATAGCAGCAAAATCGGTTTACATGGCTTTGCCTCATTCAAGGGTTTCCCCGGATTTTCTATCATAACAACTTCTATTACTCATCAATAGGGCCATAGTGCTTTCATCCATGACAAAATCTTATAGTTTTTTTGGTTAAAAAATTCTTTCCAAGTGATCAGCAAATGGTTCAACTTTTGCCTATTGTTTTTGCCCACGATTTATCTGTGCTTTTCAGTCGCGGGATTCGCTTATCATTTTCCTAGTAATCTTCGTTGCTTTCTACAACCAATAATTTGTTTATTTATTTGCAGATATAATTCGCATATCTTTATATCTATAATTCTCATATGATACTGATTTAAAATTTTTTTTTTTTGTGAGTGTTTGAGAAAGTCTATTCACAATCGTTTTATTTTCTGGGTGACTTGACCTTTGTCATTTACGTTTAATCCTTCTCTTTTGTACTATTTAAACAGTTGTAGCCCTAGGACAATTACTTCATACAGGTTTGTATTTAGAGAATCTTGTATTTTCCCAGGCGACTTTCAGGCGTTCAATTTGATAAACTGCACTTCAGCATTAAGACTTATATTTTCAATAATATTTTGTCTGAATTTGTATTTTATTTGTTGAGATGTTTCGAAATCGCTTCGGGATTATTAAACACGCGTTTGTATATCTATCCTCCATAGTTACTCTCATTGAAATTCTATCATTACATCGTTGCAATTTGCACAACTGTCCTAAAAATCTTCTCTTTTATTATTCACATTTAATACATTTAGCACCTTTTTGGTGAAATCTTTGTGTATGTTATGTTTAAACCTCTGGCGTCTCCTGCACCGCGGGATGAACTCGTTACTTATGAAATGCTCAATTTTTACTCTCATGTGCTGAAGATATTCTATTTTATACATATTAATGGAAGCCCGGATCGCATTAAGTGCTAATATGTTTGAAAATATTGAAACAAAATTGAAAGATGAATGTACATATGTATATCACACTACATAAATGATTAATTTGTAAGAACGAAAATT